TTGTCACTTGCGGGCTCAAAGTGGACACTGAACCATTAACTAGACAACCCTGCTGCTCCAAAGAACCAGGTCTTCTGCGGCAGCAAATACTACACCATTTAGGTTTGAAGGGCTGAAGATATTTATGCAATGTGTCCTGTTACAATTGCATCTTTCACAGTTTCAACGTCTGTAAATGACCTGTTTCCTGTCCAATAATAACCAACTTTCAAAGATGCTTCATTTGTAGCATGTCTTTTCTTAATTAGTTTGGTGAACAAGAATTACTGAATATGCAATGCAATTTTAAGGTTTTACATTTTCATTGGTTCATTGGTTTGGTTTTTTTTACACATTCATTCTCTGCCATTTCTTCTCACTAGTGAATTACCATACCTATAGAAATCAGAACTGGTCCCTCCCCAACCACTTCTGGTGTATGTTTGAGTCATCCTTAGGCAGCCCTGTGAATTTTTAACTCTTAACCAAGTACATAACCAGGTTTACAGCAGATAGCACACTACTTGTCCCATTTAGCTTGTTTGAATGTTAATAGCTAGTTTGATCCAAGAGTCTCACCGAGATTCTCACTGAGATCCTTGAAAAAAGACAGAATATCAGCTTTGACATTAAAGGCTGAGTAGTTTGTTCTAGACTCCCATAACCCATGGGGTAAAAAAACAAAATCACTTCTTCTTTTCATTTATACTGTACCTTTAGGTTTGTGTTTCTCTGTTAATTTAAGAGAAGACCATAAGTGATATAGCTGATGTTTTTTGTGAAATACTAAAAAAAAGTGATAATACTAAAAAAAACATGATATTTGTAGTAAAATAATAATTATTATATACAGTATAGTTCTTACATTTCTCTGTTAAAGTAATACTTGGCAGGATTTGTAATTCCTTTCTTTACGGTAATGTAATTTGAATGTCCTCTAAAACTTCATTTAGAATTAAAACTCCTGTGACTGTACATCCTCAGGTTGTATTGGGATAGGTGTGTCTCTGTAGACAAATGTTAAGGGCAAAAGGATTTTCACTTTCTGCAGAGCTAAAACCTGTTGTGATCGCGCAGTTACTTCGCAGTTTACTAAAAGCTTAGGCTTTATGCTTTCTCTACTGGAGATTAAAACCTATTACAAATAAAAGCAATTACTTGAAGGAACTTCAGCATTCATTTTCCATGTCTGCTGGATATTCTGACACGGTTCTGCAATTATTCTATTTCTTCCCGGTACAGTTTAATGCTGTCAGTAAATGGTCTCTCATTAGCACCCTGTGGGATGGGAGACAAAAGGATGAGCCGCGGTAATCCTCCTCAGAGAAAGACCAAATTGAAATGCTGGGCTCCTTTTGGCAAGCCGCTGCTGCATCACCTCAGCTGAGCAGGCGGACTGGAATAATGAACCTGGCAGGCCAGATGGGAATTGTGCAATACTACTGTACATTCAGTAAACATCTCTTGTTTAAAGGTTGGCTGTTGGTGTTTAATCTTTCCCTCGTTTTTCTTCTGTAGTTGCCGATTACTGCCTGAAAGTTAGGCTTTTTGCCAAATTCATATCGGTGAGCCTGCATGTGGAAATTCTGTAATGGCAAAGGCAGCTCTTGCACAGTGGCCAGCATGGACCGATTGTCGTTATAATTCGCTATGTAGAGCGTGTATTAGGTAAAAATTAAAACTTACTGTACGCAGATTGTTAAAAGTTCATATGTTTAATCATGCTTGAAGGTGTTGCCACTTTTTTTTTTTATTTGTTTAAGCTTCGGCATAGGAAGGAGCCCCCTCTATGGGAAGTACAGACTTTATGGATTGGGTCTCAAAGAGGAATACATCTAATCATTCTAATTAAGTGATGTTCTGTATCTATCCAGAACCCCTGCTACTCTATTCTTGATTTCATGAAAAAAATAATTGAATGTTTCAAAATATGTAGGGATCACATAGTAAACTATAGTCAGATATGCCCCACTAGAAGGCGTTGCAGTGGTTTCTTTGGTTATGTTGTCAAATTTATAAATGGAAAAAAAAATGTATTATGAAATTAAGATCCAGCAATTTATTATTTTTCCTGATGCTCTAGCTGTTTAGAAGTAGTACGTAGCCTCATGTTTAGCTTTATGTTGGAAAAATGAAATTGTCCATCATACGGAACTCAATGGAAGTTTATTGGAAGCTTAACTGTGAACTTCTGTAGAACAATATAACCAAAAAAGCTGTTCAGTGGAGTGTTCCCTGTACAAATACACTAAATGGCAAAATAAATGTGGTCTTGATTTAACCAAGTGAAATCATTAATAATTAAAAATAACATTTGAAATAAGCAATCTTTCATTCTTATACAGTATGAGGAAGTGAATGGATGAGCCATTTTTGTATATATTTCAATAAAGAGCAGTTTGTGTAAATTATGAAGGTTTTGTGGCAGGGGCAGTTTCATGACCTTGGAAACAACCAGTAACTGATTCATTTGCTGGTGTAAGTGCTCAAAAACAGTAAATATGGCAACTAAGGAATAATAGAAGGGTTTTAATGCTTATAGCAGTGCTTTAATAAAAGAGGGTATTAAAAAGCAAAGAGTTTTGAGCTTGATTAAATATAGATGAAAGCAGAAGAGAGGTGTCCCTTAAACAGGCTGCAGAGGCTTGGTAATGAATCTGTTTGGGTTTTTTTTAAATAGAAGATGATCCTCTTCTGATCATTTCAATGCCTTTGGAATTTTCTTGACAGAGTTACAGGTGGTTTTTAAATAGCAGTTGGTGTGGACTGTTTTTCCTAGACTTTATTTTTGCTTCCTATAGAGACTAATGTGATTATCCAGCATGACCTTATTAACTTTAGAACATCTCAATATTTTCTCCACATGATTTCTCCAGTTGTACACACAGGAAAAAATAAGATCTCAAATATACTGTAAACAGAGCTCAGATTTTGCTTAACTGCTCCTTGTGGGATTTTGTTTTGGCAGAACTTTTCTTTAAAAATGATATTTGTAATTGTTTAATCAACTGTGATTCAATGAAATTTCCATATTATATTTTTAATTTTTGGTGTGAAGAGAGTACCATGTAGAATTGCAAACTGAGAGTGCACAGGCCTAATTGGTAATATCCAAAAACTGGAGTATTTTGGGGTGTTGTGATTCACACTTCCATTTAATCAGTTAGTGTTGTGTATAGCTGGTTACTTTTGCTTGTTCTTCCTAATTAGAAATTTGTGTGCATAAGAATGAACATTGACGAACAGATGTGATAGGAAGGAAAGCCAAAATTTCATCTAAATCCTAGAAACGTTAGTATGAGAGTACCTGTATGTCACTTGAGCTGTAAATGAACTCTTGTCCCCTTTAAGGAAATTGCCACATGTTCAGATGGCCACATACAGTAGGTATCCATGGTGAGTCATGTATGTGTCTCTGGTTGTTAAAACTGTCAAAATGTAAAGATGTTTTCATTTAATAGGATATTCCACTAGTATTACTGACAGCCCCATGTAGCGAATGATATGCTAAAAATAATAAATAAAAAGGTCCCACAACAAAAATTGGTAACAATAACAGACACCTGATGTTTTCAGGATAAGCATATTGCTCAAGGACCAAATGAGTTTTGGCTGCAGAAGCAAGAATGTCAGGCTTGGCATCTCATTGTCCATGAAAAATTAAGAATGAAACACTAGCTTTCTGATCTGTCATATCCATCTGATACTCAATAGGGTGTCTTGTATAGTGTCTTGAAAGTGAAATTGCTGAAAGAATGCCTCCTTATGAATTGGAAAATTGAATTGGAATATGGGCTGCAGAACACAAGAAGAAATGTAAAATTGCTTAGTGTTACCCCTTATATGCAGTGTCAGTTTTATTAACTCTGATAGGATGTTCACAATATGTTTTACCTTTCAACTCATTCTCCTTCTACAGAGTGGATTCTTCTGATGTGGTATGTTAAAAAAAAACTATGGTCAGGCTATCCAGCTATTATCTCTTTATGGTTGAGTTTGGTATAAGGCAGTCCAGTCCTTTGCACATGTCTTAATAGAGTAACATACAGTAATCCCTTTTTTGAATGGCCATTGGCTTCGGTACCTTCTTCTCTTTCCATCTTTCTTTCAGCATCCTCAGTAAATATTTATCTATTTCTCTTCAATCAGCAAACATTTTTTTATCTTGGAGAGTGATTTAGTGGGCTTTCTGGTCAGGAAAACAAAACGCATTTCAAAATCATAATGATACAGTATGCAGAAATCTGATGTAAACATTCAATAAAAAACATGGATTTTCAAAATGCAGTGTCATTGCCAAAAGATCATTTATTTTGGTTAAAAGAAGTAGAGAAATGTATTTTTATTAGTTAGTCATTCCTGTAGTTTATTGATGATTCTGTTATTTTACTGCAGTATAAATGAGGAATTTTTAACGACTGAAGAAGTTTCCTTCATTTTTTTGGAATGGGGAAAAAAAATGAAAAGTATGCAGGGTGGTTCTTATTGAGCTAGATAGATCATAACAAGTATGCCATTCTTTGAGAACAGTTGTAGTACGTCACTGTGAAATAATGAATCCCTTAATGTGCTGCAGCGTAGAAATGGTGTGTCATTCTAGCCCTGTATTGGCAGTTGGTTACTAGTTTGGCACTGATTATCCGTCAGCTACTGAAAGGGGTCCTCCAGTCCTTCAGTCATTTGGGTAATCCAAACTCCAGTCCTCAGAGGCTGCAGAGCACTTGCTTTTTCATTCTGGGCCAAGCTCTCCAACTTATTAACATAAAATTCAACTCATATGCTTAATTTCTACAGCTTTACAGCTGTTGAAAGGATACAGTTTATTCAAAGGTTTACACTAAAAAAGGTAAAGTGGTTTTAAATGTCTTGCTAATAACATAATATAACCAAAATGTTCCTGAGCTCACCCAGAGGATCCTACAGTATATGCCTCTTCCGCTACTTTGGATGTCAATGAATGTGTATTTCATTGATGTTGATGATTTTAAATGTGTATTTCTTAATTTTTTCCCTCTTTGCAGCACTATGGTGAAACAAGAGTCCGAAGATGCTGGAGTTGGGCACTTGTTCAGTCAGCGCTCACACGCTTTCAGACCACAATGCCCTGGGAGTTCCACAGCTGGGCAGCACCCCCCACCGCTACATGCTGCCACCACCAGAGGCAGAGAGCTGGCACAAGCATCGGCTGGGCTTGACCCAAGGCTCCCGGTCCTGCTCCCTGCTGGAGCCTGAGAGCCTCTCAGACAGCCTCCTGTCCCGCACCGCCAGCTTCGACGCCCTGTACGAGCTGCGCGCCCGCGAGGCCGACACCAGCTTCCCCTTTGATGGAGGAGTTTCCTTTGAGGTGCCCACGCTGGGCCTGGACCCTGCGATGCCCGTCAGCCCCCACCTCATCAAGCGCCGCCGTGGGGGTCTCATTGAGCAGAAGGACATCATCAAAGCCCATGAGGCTCACAAGATGCAGAGTACCCCTCAGGCCAAGCGCAAGGAGTGGGAGTAAGTACAATCAATTAATCCACCAAGTCAATTACAGGACTGGCTTTCACATGATGATTTGAAGCACCAATTTTCTTTGAAAGATAATGGGGTTCTGTCTTACTGTGAATAGGATGTTTGAGGATGCCCATTACTGTTTCCACCTCTGCAAATATCTATAGAAAGGCAGATGTAAAAGTGCAGTGATGTAAGGGTTTTAATTAACTGTAACAATTATTAATTGGAACAGCAAATTGTGAGAGTGCTCTTACGTGGGAATCAATCACTTGATAATTTACAGTCTCTGACATGGATTCTAAATATACACTGGTTGTCATAATTTATCAATACAACACCAAAACAGGAATAACAAAACAACAAACAGAAAATATTTGAGAAAGAGCTGCTGTGATATAAAAAAGTAGATCACTCAGGGATTTCAAAGATTAGATAATAACTTCAATGTTAAAATCAAACATGTTTGGATTAATAGTTCAGCTCTTGAGATCAATGTTGCATTGGTCAAATGTCCTTGGCGAGTTTAAACTTTCCACTGGAAAGACAGAGTTGGGCTGGGTTGGTCTGTGGTCCAGCTGGTACAGTAGATGCTTGCTCTGTGCTGGAAGTGTCACATTATAGAGAGAAGAGAGAAAGCTTTGCCCAGCATAGCTGAGGAGCGCTCAGCTGGGAAGTTAGCCAAAGTCAGCACGATGCCTTAAAACCGTTGGGGCACATTCAAACGCTTGGGTCTGGCCCCAGGTGAGATAGGTGGGAGAAGCATCCTGGTTATAGTGTTTTGCTGAAAATACTGGAATATTCAAGGTATTTGTGTTGACAAAAAGAGACCACCTCTTCAATTACATTGAATAATAAGGCAAAACATATTTTTTTCACTTATTTAGAATATCGTGGGCACAAAAGACTTGTGGGTTATTGCAGTCATGTGGTTGGTAAAGTCAGATTCTAAGTTCAGTTGGAATGAGAAGATGAGCTAGTGAGTTAAATAGTGAAAATTAGTTGGGTGCTAGATACAACATCACAGTTGATGAGCAGTTAGGATGTTTGGGCTATAATCCTGGTACTAACCCTGTAGATCCCCTTGAAGGATCATCAGTTGGCTAATGGACAGTAAGCTCTCACCCTTTACCCTAGTAGAAGGTGAATAGGTGACTGGATCCAGTCTATACCATATTCAAGACGTACAGCTTTGTGATTTCCTGGTCTTTGTTTCAGACCTGAAAGATCTTTCTTATCAAGTGGACCTCTTCATTTCTCTGGTTTTACACAGTGTCCCAAGCTGTTTGTTCAAGGCAAGAGAAAGATTATTATACATCTTTAATAATACTTAGTTCTAAGTGCAATAATGTGCCGTGCTGCTACAAATATTACCCCTTGTCTGAAAATGTCACTTTTAAATTAGTAATAACTGTCACATTAGAAATTAGTATGGTGTGTGGGGGGTACTGTATGTTGCCTAACTTCACTGCATCAAGAAAAGACTTGTATTTAATACTGTAAGTAAGAAACTGAGGTAAAGGACAGAACTGGATCGCATGACAGCTTGTTATGACCCTCAGGGATTATAATACTTTTTGGTGCTAATTAAAAAGAAATAAAGAAAATGTACTGCTTTATCTCTCACAGCTTATCCTACTGAACATCAGCCACATGTAGAGATTTGTGAAGATACACAATGAGATGTAATTCAGAAGATATACCAAATAAAATTGAATGTTTTCTTGTTTGTCATTTGGACCTTTAAGTTAAGGTATGGCAGTATCATCTTGTGTTATTTTAAAACACCTGTGACCATTTTAAGACATTTGCAAGCACAAATTCTATACCATCTGTATTCTGATATTTGGTATCTTTTTACATGTGTTTTTTATATCATTCTTAAGAAAAAGAGGAAGGTGCTGATATCATTAAGCCAGTCAATCAGAGCTCAGGGAGCGTGGGAGAAAGAAGCCTACGAATCACCAGTTATAAAGCAGATCCTCTGCAGTCCCTTAATAAGAACCCCCTCGCTTGTCAGGGGTGGTAATGTTTTTATGAATGAATGGAGAAATGTACTACTGTTTCCATGAGATAATTCATGCCAAAGAAATGTAGATAGGGAACTAAGATCTCCTCCAGTGTCTAATGTTGGCACTGTTCTTTCTAGGAATGATGCTTTTTCTACACAGCAGTGTCATTGTTTCCAATTTTACTTCCAATTTTAAAAAAAGCAAAATTTCTCTATGACTCATTATTCACCTTTAGGGTTCATTTACATGCAGCACAGATGCTCCAGACGTGCTCTCCATGGGGGTGCAAATTATGATAAAGCTTATAGAACAAGTAATAGCAATCAGCTGAAAATGTACAGTATACTTTGTAACATACAGTACATACTTTCAGACATACATATATCCTTCTATTAAATGTGTGGAAATTATGGACATGGCTTTAGCCAGCATCAGAAAAAGTCAGTCACATTATCATACTGAATATATATATATATATTTTTAAATGCAGCCATATGAAACAGCATACAAGCATACAATGAAAGAATATACATGTTATTAATTGGTAGGGTTCTGGGTTAGAGAGAATGATAGTACATTGTGAAGATGAGGGTGTAAAAGGGATAAAGGGTAGTTTCCTAGGAGGGTAGTAGGTACTACAGTAAGTACAAGGCAGAGGGGTGAATTGATGAGCAAGTACTGGTAGGTGGCAAGACTGTGCAGTCTTGGCATTTTCTAGGAGAGAATCAGGGGAAGGCCAAGCCAAGGAGCATCAGAGAGCAATAAGTGAAGACAAGATACTGAATGCAAGGCTGGTGGGACAGGGGGCTGAGGAGAGAGCAGGTGGATAAAACGGGCAAATTACAGTGCATTTATCAACTTGGATATCAGGCAGGAACAACTTGACAAAGTGACATGCTTTATGGGGTGGCCATGTAGAGCAGTAGACAAGCCTCTGGACACCCTGATCAGAGGGTTGCAGGCTCAAATTCCAGGTGGGAAAACTGCTATTTTGCCATTGAGCACAGTAACCTTACCCAGAATGCTCCACAATTCCCAGCTTTGTAAATTTTTGCCAAAATGTCATGCAAACTTCAACGTAGCCCCTATAAGCTGCTTTCAATGAATGCATTAGCCATATAAATTAGTAGTCATATAAATTGTGACAGCTCCAGGGGTTGGGCGTCATAGTGATTGATCTTTTGATAGGCAGGTCCTAGCATTGTATTGGAATGGGTGCTTGTCTAGAATAGGTTAAGAGTACTGTAATTTGTTCTTGGTTGTAGTTTCAAACTACTTTCTGTCCCAATCTGCCCCTAAATCTGTCTACAGTAGGGTACATCCACATACAGTAACAAATAACTGATAAAAATATCAGAGACACATTATCCTGACTTTTGATTTTTTAAATGCTTCATTTATTTCTTTTCTTTAACAATGGTTAAACAATTTCAAACAACAAGCACTAAATAATTGCTTTGAACTTCTGATTACAGTATGTTGCTTTTCAGTATCTCCTTTGTCCTTTTACTCTCATTTGAATTCATCCATTTCCCTGCTTTTCCATATGTGTGGGCTGAAGTTCCCCAGAACACTGAAATATTTTTATTATTTTTCTTATGGTAGCATCATAGTGCTAATAAAAGCATATATAAAAGAAGTTTTAGGGGGTGTATTATCGCATTTTTCATTCAGCATGAGTGAAATTACTGTACATGAAAGGTTAAAAAATGAAAAGGAATATGACTTTCAATTTATTTTTTTTCTTCAGTTATTGGAAGTTCATATATGCATACATTGGACAATTAGAGGAAAAACAGAACTGCTATAGTTATTATTTTCTCCACATTTGTACAACGTCTGTTGATTTAATGCTTATGGTGAGAAAAAATGCACATATTCTTTAGTGTTGTAACATGCAATACTCATGCACAGGACTTGCTAATATAGTGAACGGCTTGTGAAAGGACCCGTGTAATTTCAGACCGGTAAGTATTTTTTCATAATCTTAAATTATATAATAGTTAAATAGACATACTGTAGAAGGGATACTTAGAAAAAGGAAAGTCTTGCTAAACCAATTTGCTAGAGTGTTTGAACAAACAGCAGGATACATTTACAGTTACTGTATATAAACAGAGAATATACTGTAACGTGGTATGTTTAGGTATTCAGACAGCTTTTTTTTCTGTAAAGTCTCCATAAAATATTAATATGGAGCACTTTGTTTACACGGAGGGTTTTGGGAGCCTGCTACAAGTTATCCAGGTGTGATATTGAACTTGATCCACTGCTCTTCCATTAAACACCTAGATGAGATTCTTGGTTCAATTAGCTATTGGCAATCATGCAAGCTATATGGGCTGAATGCTGTCTTCACATTTGCAACCTTTCTTGGATTAATTATTGTTAGAAATTACTTAAGCTTAAAGTGCTTTTTAAAATTATCTGGTATTTTATTAATATATGCAGATAATACAGCTGGCATACCTGCAGGATATTTGGGTCGTGTTAAATTAAAAAAATTAAAACAGTATTTAATTTCCTTTTGGGGAGGGCCTCATTTCATAATAGTTTAGTGCAGTTTATAAATGTACATGTAGCTAATCACAAGTGCCCCCATTAAACTGCACGTGAGGTTTCTCCATATTAATATATAGAAAAAAATCAATACCACGGTTATAGCTTTTGTGGTCATAAACATGTTTTTTCTTCATAATTGACTCATCCGCATGAATGGAACTGAGAATGAGATTTCTTCTCACAGCACACTAATCATACGAGAGCTGTTTGACTTGCAGAGGAAACAAAACACACTTTCTGCCTGAGCGTGGCCTCGGGGGAGCAGTTTCCCTTTACACATATTTTTAATCTTGTTCTGTCCGTCTTGGAAATGCAAAATGTTTTAATGTGTTTCTGACACTGATGGAAGTAATTGGGACACTCTGAATGACAGGTGAAACAAGCCATTAGTACTTGCAAACTTCTGTAAAGCAGGGGCTTATGAGTAATGAA